GGGGAGGCAGGACAGACGGACACCAGGCCTCAGCTCCCTCCGGGCCGCTTGGGTTGCAGGCCTGCCGACCGTGGTCAAGCTGGTGGACAGAGAAACGCTCCTGAGAGAGAGAGAAGAGAAGAAAAGGGTGAGTGGAACCATGGGGTGTTTAACTCTTTTACATTTTTATTTATTTATTTATTTATTTTAAATATATATTTGTATTGATTTCAGAGAGGAAAGGAGAGAGATAAAGAGATAGAAACATCAATGATGAGAGAGAATCACTAATTGGCAGCCTCCTGCACGCCCCCTACTGGGGGTGGGGGGATCGAGCCCACAACCTGGGCATGTGCCTGGGGGTGGGGTCTGTCCCGGGCGTGGGCCATGTGGGCTCCGCACAGTGGCCCGTGTCTGTGTTCCAGGCGGCCAAACTGGCGAAGATGAAGATCCCGCCCAGCGAGATGTTCTTGTCGGAAGGCGACAAGTACTCCAGGTTTGATGAAAACGTAAGAACCACTTTTCCCTTCAGACCGGGGTCACCTGCCCGGTGATGCAGGAACTGTCACCTGGGGAGCAGATCTTGTTTGGGCTGCAGCTGGGAGGGAGGCGGGGTCCTCTGGCACCTGTGGCCCAGGGTGCCCGGGGCTGAGCCGCAGGTGACCGCTTGGGAATCAGTGGCCTGTCCCCCTGCTGGCCGCCTGAGCCACGCGGCCGGGCTTCACTTTTATTAAAACGCCAGGACTTATACGTGTAAGAAGGAAACACTAATGAGATAGGTAACTGGCAACTCGATAACAAAACGAAGGAGACCCTCCCTTCTCGCGAGGGGCCCCTCCGACGGGCAGGGAGACGGTCCCTTTGGGTGACGGTGGAGCCGCCCTGCTCAGTCACACCGTGCTCCTGCCTGAAGGGGTGTCTCCCTTGTCACCGGGTTAGAATGTGTCACAGTTGCAACCGCCCCCAAGAACCCATCCCCGCACGTGCCGTGGGCAGCACTGAGCCCCCCATGGCCAGGGATGGAGCCAGGCTGGGGCCCCTCTAGGGAGCGGCAGGGACACAGCTGGTCCAGAACGGCTGGGCACAGCTCAGGGTGCCCATGGGGACACAGGCCGCACGGGCTGCCCCTGGTCACCACGAGGGACCCGGCCAGCTCGCCTGGGGC